GAGGCGCGGAGTCGAACCAAAAATCGCTTGCGTATTGCAGTGCAACCTTATTCACAACGCTTCATGCATTCCTTAGTATTAATATCATGTCTACGTACGTCATCCACGACTGAGAATCAATTGTGAAACCCAGTAGATCAATAACGACTTTTTCGAAATAATTTAAAAGTTTCTTCAACTTGTTGAAATTCGGTGAAAATGGCCCATATTTCAAACGTTTGAGCTCCAATGCCCATTCACTGAACAGCGTAAGTCACTATGAAATCACTTTCATCTTAGGGATTTACATAAACACAAAAACGAATATTCTCGTGGCTAAGTAGGGATCGTTATGAGCAGAACGAAGCTGATCCTTCGCGGATCGGCCGAGAAAAAAGTAAAGGAGAGTATAATGGCGACTGCGTACAAATTCGTTTCAAAGTACTTCTGAAATTCTAGAGCTATAGTAAAATGCTTTCACTTATGGATAACTAAAAATGTAAACAATGTAACCGTATAATTCGAAGAGGTCCATCCGTGGGTAAGTTTACTAAAACTTGAACGTTTAGAATTTCTATTCGGAACCCTCCAATAGGATTAAACTAAGGTCGCGAGAGGAACACCTCCCTTTGATTCACACTGATTGATTGTCAAGAAAATGGAAATCATGCTATGATCAACACAGTTCTCCATGAAAACAGGTTAATCAAAAGCCGAGTAATGTAGAGTTATCAGTGGACGTCACAACTAATATAATCCGGAATATCTTAAACATTACCGCTACAAAACTGCCGAATGAAATCTGCAGCAGGGAAGAAATGACAGATGAAAAATAATCTAATGAGAAATATAACTTTAATGATGGTGATATATTTGCAAAACTCCAGACCGCAGGTGTTTGCGGTGGGAAACGAACGCTCTATTGTCCTTTCCGGGAAGTAACGCGATCACCGCCACACCATGCGGGTCCTTCTTTCCGCCTGTCTCTCAGTTAGTTCTATCGACCTTTTGTCACCAGCAATCACCCGTCAGCGGGATTGATTTGGTGACCCCAAATCGGCAACGAACCCAGTTAAGCTGAGGCTGCAGTTATAAACACAATTTTAACTTATTATTTACTGCCTACTCTTTTTAATGGCAAAGTATATATTGCGAAATATAACTTTAATATTTTTTTGATGGCAAAAGATCGATAGAACTAGCTGAGAGAAAGGCGAAACGAAGGACCCGCATGGTGTGGTGGTGAACGCGTTACTCCCTGGAAAGGACAACAAGGCGTTCGTTCCCCGCCGAAGACACCTGCGGTCCGGAGTTTTGCAAATATCTCAGCATCATTAAGGTTATATTTCGCAATATATACCCTGCCGCTAAAAGGAGCAGGCAGTAAATAAAAAGTTAAAATTGATCTAATGAAAATTCTCACATTAAAGTGACTATCCGCACATGAGTTGTCGCTCACCGAGTTCGGGCGCAGACAGCTGTTCGAACTTCGTCACTGCATTGTTCTAAATGCTCGTCGAGTTCCGTTAGTGGTACGTGAAAACAAACGTGAACGACTCTAGCCGAAACCGTAGATGACAGTTCGCTCGTAGCTCATTGTTGTGGGTGTAAATCCTATACGGATCTCGCTGTAGCGACGATAACGTCAGTAAGTTTTGTGCTGTTTCTACTCGGGAACCCCTAAATAAGATCAAACCAAAGTTGCAAGAGGAACATCTCTCTTTGATGCACACTGGTTGGCAACTACACGTGACAATGACCGGACAATGAGGATCTTGGCAATTCTTTCGCGGAATTTTATGTGTAGCAGTAAGGCCAACAATTTGCCATAGCCGTAATCAGAAGAAATCATTAACACGTTATTATAATTTACAAATAAGTCCAAATCCGTGCAAACTGCATCACTGGGGGATTTTAGAATTAGGAAAAAAAATCTGCGTCAATGTTCGAAAGTTCTAAAAAGGATTGATGTATGCTTAACATTCTTAAATTTGAATGATTTTTCAACGATTTCGGCAAAACTCGGAAATTCGGACATTCTGGATATAGTTTTCTATGTTTTCAATTTTATTCCCTACAACGGTATTAACGTTGACGTCAAAAAAGGAGTTAGACAGGGCGATACAGTCTCGCCAAAATTATTTACCGCCATCTTCCAGAACGTCATGCGAATACTGGAATGGAATAATATGGAAGTGAAAATCGATGGTCGGCAATTGCACCATATTCTTTTTGCTAATGACATCGTCCTTGTAACATCAAACATTAACCAAGCGGAACGTATGCTTGCCGACTTTGATGAAGTCAGAGAAAAGATTGGTCTTCGACTAAATCTCACAAAAATGATGTTCATGAAGAACGGATTGGTTTCGCATGCCCCATTCACGCTCAACGGAACCAAAATCTCCGAATGCTCCAGTTATGTCTTTCCAGGTCGGGAAATCAATATGACGAACGACCTAGCACCAGAGTTGAGCAGAAGGAAACGAGAGGCTTGGGAAGCTTTTAAGAGCATCGAGGATGTAGTGAAGGTAACAAAGAACACCCGGCTCCGTAACCACCTTCTCGACTCAACGATACTTCGTGCCCTAACGTATGCGTTTGAAACCTGGTCGCTGCGTAAGCAGGGTGAAAGATCAGTCAGCGTTATCGAACGCGCAATCGAAAGGACGATGCTAAGAGTATCCTGTTTCGCACAAGTAAGGAAAGAGATCAGAAGCTCCGACCTGCGTCAACGATTAAAAATCAAAGATGCCGTTCTGTACGCCAAACAGTCGAAGATGAGGTGGGCCGGACACGTATTACGTATGAATGACAACCGATGAACAAGAGCCGTTAGTGACTGGATTCCTCGGGATGTCAAACGTACTGTAGGAAGACCACCGACCCGATGGACAAAGTTCTTCGGGAAAAGCCTAAAAGAAAGATATGATGCTCGACGGGTCCCAAGACCGAACAGAACCCACTGGGCTACTCTTGCACGCGACAGGGAAAAATGGAAGATTTACTGGCTCTCGCTCACTCAACGATCAACAGGACTACAGGTGATACAGGTGACAGGTGAATTCGTTGAAAAACTACTCATTGCGCTGTTGCGAGTGGTACCACCAATCTGTTGTTCGCGAGGGATGACAAGTGAGACCCACAAGAACAGCAAATCAAGTTGAAATAAGGCGCCAGCTCACGTGTGATAGTGGAGCAGTCGTCTTTCACATTCATCTCTGGACTTTTGAAGTTTATCCAAACCTCCTCAAGAGTCCTGCTCGTTGATCTTTTTGATTCTGGCTCTACAACCCGGACAGTCACTTCAAAATCATCGTCACTGTGCTTTTGTACCCTGTGTGTACCTGGAGGAGTGCTTTGCCTGGAATTTTAAGATTCACATGCAGATGTTCTTCTATATGGACACAAAGTGATCTACTCCCTTCCCCAATGTATTCTTCACCTTACATGAGATCAGATACCTTGTACCTATACTCATACAATTCCTGTCTATCCCGTTAGGACAGATCAAACAATTTTCTGAGCTGCACAAGCGATCTTAGAGGCCGTTGCTAACTAACTGGCGACGTAGGGCATTAGATGAGCAGTCTATAATTACCACAGAATTTTCAGAACCACCTTTCTTTTGGCGCACAACCACAATCAGAGCATATTCGAGTAGTTCCACGAGTAACCTACGTTTCAGGTAGGGTCATTTTCTTTTCTTATTAGCTTTTGTCGAAACATTCAGTAAAGGAGAGCCCAAATCTCTGATAGCGGTATCCACAAGTTCACGTTATACGTGTTATACTAACCTAAGCATTTTTGCCTTTGCCTCCTATAGTCTGTAGACTCTATTGATCCTTGTCGTTTGTCAGAATTACTCTGTCGGTTTTACTTGCTTATCAGAACGCCGTGATCTGCACCAACTGTATCTCTCCCATTTTTCCACTGTTTCGGTGAGCTTGTAGTTACTGGTAACCCATCTGGCTCTTCGAATCGGTTCTCCCTATCTAGGCTTCGTATGAAATATTGCTCCAATTCCGCCTTCCGTAGAGCTTGGAAAAGAAGAAATTTAATCATCGAACTCTCAGAACACTTGTAATCAGAACATTGTACCTGGTCAGCAAAAATAGTGAGGTATTGACCAATGCACAGATTAACGGAAAGTAGGTTTTGGAGTTTGCTATGAGGCTCTCAGATACGCTTTTAACCCATTGTAGTTTAAGAATGCAGTACTGACCTTTCTGCCGAAGGAAACTTTTACACAACATGAGGAGTTTTCTGGGTGTACGTGCGCGTTAGTGGTGACGCTTCAGCTAAAGACCTGCCAGAAGGTGCCCCTTGATAACTTTCAATTTCTCAGAGTTCTTCGCATTGTTGTGAAGGTTGTATGCGCAAGTGTTATTCCAATCTCATTACAGACAACATTGTTTCATAAGAGTTGTGGTAAGAAAATTCCTTGGCAATAAATGCAACGCATTCAAATTTAATTTGAATTTCCAGGTTTCCCTCGCTCAGGTTGAGAATTTAAAGATGATCATTTGGTCTAGAAATAACAGTTGCGGAAAACCTTCGGTTAGTTGCCATGTGGTGAATTCAATTCCAATGTTGTTCACTGAGAGCCTTCGGCGTCAAATTTCAAACAGAGGGCTTCCAGATGAAAAATCAATAGTGCTCGTCTCTGCGATGACGGAAACGAGACAGAGTGCAATCTAGCCTGTAAGTCTCAACACGAAATACTCCAAGCATTCGTCCAAATTCCATTTCTCCAGCCTCATCCTAAGAGTGTTTGAAAGATCTATTATTGATTTTCTACATTAATCAGCTAATATGTGGTTGGTATAATTTATTTTACTAACGTTTAGGCGTCCTCGCATTCTTCGAAGCCACATTGATCCTAGTCAATGGTCGCAAGCCCAAGATTGTCGCGACGTGAGAGTTTGCAGTCGCGTCTAATCAAAGCAGGGTGAAGAAGAGCGCACGAACTTGTTAACTCTCAAATATCCACATTCATCCCGAGGGGTTGCACAATGCGGTCATTGTTCATCGTAATTCACTGCTGCATCGTCGACTAGGGAGTCCATGCTATTCACTTTTCCGGACCCTTTCAGGTCATTCCATGTGCTCTGATTGCTGTATCGTGGAGGTGTCCCTGCGGATTGCAGCTGTGCCCACATCTTTGCCGGTTCATAGACCAGCGAGTCCATGTCTTTGTCTTCTGCGAACCCTTTTGGGTCACCCCAAGGTTCTAGTCGTCGGTCCGCGGTGCCGGCTCTGCACATTGCAGCTGTGAGCGCATCTGAGCGTGCTACTTTGCTCAGCGGTGCGATCTAGGGCTCGTGCACCTCTTGCTGACAAGAATAATTGCCTACTCACATTATTAAAGTTTGATTCATGGGTAACTCTGCCGTCGCGGCTTTACACTCAGCAAGTTCCACGGTGCGAAAACACTTCGTCCCATGCAGAGCCACCTTGTCGTAGAAACCCAGAGAAAGGATGCAGTATATCACATACGGTTTTTAATTTCGTTCTCCGCCATTGAAAAGTTGCAAAGGAAAATACGTTTTGGCAAGTTTTCAAATCAAAGTTGCCACTCCCTACAGTAGTACTTATCTTACTTTCGTCTCTCAATTATGAAGAATAAGAAAACGAAATGCAAATAACATTTTCAAGTATGATATTTGCTCCTTCGATAATCAAAATTGTAAATAAATTATGAAACACAGGTCTAGAGTGTTAGCAGAGGGCAGCACTTGTAGCGTCGCTCAGCGTTTGAGATTCCCTGCAACACACATTGGGTCGGTTTTTAGTAGGTTTCCATGCTCTGTGTTTCTCCGGGTCGTTAAATTTGTAGCAGACTTGTCTAGAGGGATAGCAGCAGAGAATTATATATCAAATGCCACTGAAAGTCATTGTATCCGGCAGATATGCACAAAAATCACTTCTGCGATGTTTCTATAACAGCGTTTCATCTTAACTTAAAGTTTTAACTAGGGAGTATTCCACTTGTGGAACTGCGATGCACCGTTAATACGCTGTCCTTCAAGCAGCGTTTGATGAGTTGTGAAAAAGTTTGACATTCCCGAAAGCTGAATAAAGTGTACAATAATGTGAGGAATCAGTACTGTACTGGTACCAACTTGGTCATAAAATGGTGGCAGACTTTCTTTTAATTCATGAGGCCAAAGAGCGCGCGAAGACTTGAGAATGCGCATTCGTCTAGAAAACCACTATTTAAATATAAAATTATGTTGAGGGCCAGTCGAATTTTCATGAAGACGTGCAGTAGTAGTGGTAAAAAAAAGTGTTCCATTCAAAACAGTGGTCGCTTTTAAACAAAGCGGCTGGGGTGTATCGTAGGAAAATCTTTCCAATGCTTTTAGCAACAACGCAATTACTGTGTACTGTAAACGGATGTTGGGTAGCAGCTATAAATCGTCCACAATGACATCAATAGCATAGACAAGTCGGTCGCTCCGATTTCTCACTAACAAGCTGATAAGGCGGATTGAGCTGTCCTGTTTAATTGCCTTCGTTGTACCGGCTTACGCGAAAAACACGCTGATCGCTCATGTTAACTTTAGTATTCGACATGATGAGAGAATATTTATTTGACTATTTGATGAGAGAATGAGTAAGGAATAGATGCCCTCCTTCACCCTTTATTTGAGGTTGTCTTTTCGAACAAGAGTACCGAGAGAAACCTCTCAACAGTGTAATACAATTTTTCTATTTTGCGTGGCCGACCTTCACACCTACGGTGCGAATCTCAGCACTTCTTCCATTGGATTGGTTTTCTCGCATTCGTCATCCACAATGTTCTTCGAACTTTCCGCACTTGTATCCGGCTGCTGCTTGAGCACCTTCATCTTCATTATGGATGGCGTTGAATCATGGTTAAGTCGATAAACCCTGAATCCTGGGACAGGAGTGCTAGAGAGAGTGCGATAAACGCTTTCACCAGCATTCCGTCATTGTTTCGGCAATTTGGAGCCATATTCGTCTACGTTTCGGCAATTTGAGCCAGATTTATCTACAAGGATAAAAAACACGGACTTGCTAAATCAGCTGGTCTCGGAACTCACAATGTCGGGAAAATAAGCATTCAATCACTCTTACGTTTCGTAGCCTAAAAGAAAGATATGATGCTCGACGAGTCCCTAGAGCGAGCAAATCCCACTGGGCTACCCTTACATGCGACAGGGAAAAATGGAAGACTTGGAAGAAAAATGGAAGAAGAAAATGGAAGACTGGCTTCCGCTCAAGTCACTAAATGATCGACGGGACCACAGGTGACGGAGATGATATTCTTGTCACCGAATATATGACGACATCAATTTTATTGTAATCCTTGTGAAGTCCTTAGTAACAGTTCAAACATGTTGCTGTATCGCAATTGGCTGAAAAGCGCTGTGTAATGTCATTGTTTGTTAACAACTCCGCACTCATAAAAACACTCGATGGGAATGAGTCACGTTCTTTACAACTAGCAACATCTGCTTTCAGAGTTACATAAGTCCTGATCAGCTTGTGTAATTATTCGCCTTTTCCTACTTCACCCTTCCCGCTTACTACTCTCTTGACCATCAGAACCCCTATTAATTGAAGATCACGCGGCGGAAAAAAAAGAGCACACATGGCAGCACCTAGAACAACCGCTCATGTTCTTTACTAAAGTTATATTGAGTGTTAAACATTGTGGTTTCTACTGCAGCCTTAATTTAGCTGGGTTCAATGCCGATTTGTGCTCCCATGATCATTCCCGGTACGTGTAGCACCTTTACGGTAAAAAACCGATCGAAAAAAAGACAAAACAAGAGCCTTTGTGGTGCAGTGGGTAACACATAACCCCCTGGAAAGGGTAAACGGAGGTTCGAAGTTGGCCTAGGGTCTCGAGAATAATGTGGTTAATAAATGTAACACTCATCTAGTGCTGAACCATATCACAGCGTATTTCACGAATATCCAGATGTTCCTGGATCGTAAACGTCACGCAATCTTATAGTATATAAGTGATGAAGTCCTTCGGCGTTATCCCCCTAGATAAAAAAGTGTTTAATGACATCGCTATACAAGTCATCCTTGAACTCCTGCAACACAAAGAGGGAATAGACATGTAGGGTTTTTCGATTCAGCTTCTCATGGCCCTTTCAAAAGTGTACCTGAATTGCCCAATTTTCTAATGGTTCGGGAAGTATTACGCATAAATTAAAGCGTTGGCAATGGGACAGATTACTAAAACCAAGCCTTAGCATTCCCTTTATATCTAAGCTGAAAACACAAGTAATCGTTCTCCAGTAATTACTCTACTGTAAATATATAGATAATTGTTCCTTCACCTGAACCACTCAAGAGGAGATGGACAGATGTCTTTAGAAGCTAAACTAGTAGTCAATATATATAAATTTCACCCGGAAGAAGCCAATGAGAGACTGTCATCCTTTTTTGAACATTCAAATCAACCTGTCTAAAAACGGCCACATCAATTGATGGCACCGAAAGTCTAGCAGCGAAACTCTACTGGTTCAGTAAATCTCCTCCAAAAATACAAAAAAAACCCCAAGGAGAGTGTATTAAGATCAGGTGTAATCTGGCGCCACATCTCAGGTTGACGTCTTGAGCCGAGCCAGGCACGTTTCTCACTTATAAAAGTCTCCTTGCGGCTGATCTCCAAAAATAACTGGAGGATTTATAAAAGACGAGTAAAATTTATGTGCTAAGCTTTCGTCTGTTTGGATCACGAAAGTGTTTGGCTGAATAGATCCAGCGTTAACTTGACGTAACCAGGGTCTGAATAAAGTTAAAACGCCAAAACGCCATCAGTTATTCAGTAAATACTTTTAGTGGCAACGTTGTGTCTGCTCATTAAGAAAGCAGTAAATTATTGGCCATAAGAGCAATACCATCAGCGAGACAAAGACGCCGCAGTTGAGGACCACCAAATGTCACTCTCATTTTACCTCATCTCAGTTATCTCACGAGGTTCACAAGAATGGTTGTAAGTAATTTGACACGACAGTGTGTGTAAAACCTGCTTTTTCACGAAAATTTTGATGTCGCTGTAAAATGGTGGTATTGCGGTCCGATCGAACGCTGTGTCATTCTGCACGGACTATGGGTAAAACGTAGGAGACCTCCTCTCGGCACAAAGCCGACGGTCTCGTCGTTGGCGGTAGGAAGTCATCGGGAGGAATTCGGGATAGATGGTTTTCTCCTTTGCTATAGTGAATCTTTTGTTTTGGCGCCTGCCGAGCACCTTGACCTTTAACCGGCGAAGTTTCGATTCATATTGCGGATGCTCTTCCCGATCTCTGCAGGTTCGGCCATTACTACTGCTTATTTTTCCTTAAGGTTATCTTTTATCGCCTATCTGCAGCGATTTGCAAACTCGGACGTGATTCGACGATTGTCTAAGTCTCGCAAGATTCGTCATATCACCTCGAGTGATTCAGCAAGCAAAATCCTTTTTGCAGCTTCCAAACTCCTGGAATTATCAGCAGTAATGTGACGCTCAATAAGCGCTTGTATTTTTTATTGACGTTATTGATAAAAGCATTTTCCTTGAAGCCGGGTAATGATCTAAATAAAGTCCAGTATATAGCGGCTTTGCAATCTTCTTTCTTTGACGTTGGGGTTTTCTACACCTTTGAAAAAAAAAAGAATCTTGCGTAATGAGATGATGATCCCATCCAGCACAAAATTTCGGGACAACGGCGACATCGCCTAGGCAAAATCTGTGATTCAGTATGATGTGGCCTATTAAATAGTCGTACTCTCTACTAGAAGGCCCCCAAGTCCAACGTTGAGAGTGGGGCTTCTAGAATTGTCAGTTATCATGAATGGTCTTAGATCGTCACAATAAACGTTGAGAACCGCTCACTGAACTAATCCCTTTGACACTGAAAACTTTGAAGGTGTCGTCTTATTCGTAGCACTTCTCCCAAATTCTGCATTGATTTACACCTCTTTACCAATGAGCATCCAATTCGACCCGATAGTTGTTCGAATGGATTGATGTTCATGGCCAAACTCATATTGACGAAAACACCGACGCCGCCAATTCCTCTATGGTATCATGTTCTGAGGAATAGTTCTGCTTCGGTTAAATAATTGCCGCTGAATGGGGGCATCTTCTAGTCTCAGACAGACCCATGACGTCGTATCTTGTCCTTCTTTTGAACGATCAGGTTTTCCATGGTGGACTCATACGCATGTGGTCGCGTATTGAAGGCAAAGATTTAGAAGCCTCTTCGTACTCGTCCCATTGCTGACGCTACGGGTT